TAGTCAATTATTGAAATTGGACACTTCTTGGGATGACTCTAACCGTCATCCCGCTCTGGCCCCACGTGGAGACAGATGAGAATATAAAGTTTCATCAGTCCCACCTTTTTTTCATGGGGACGGTTGAAAGTTATTTTGTTTCATAACGGTTCCATCTGTCACCTTATTGGTAATAACTAAAAGGTGGGACAGAACGAGGTGACGGTTGGGAATTATTCACTTTTTGAGAATATTGACTTTCATGTTACATAACATGGCCAACAAGTAAAACTTATCATGATATAAAAACACGCTCGGCTATTACATGAAAGAGCCAAAAATAGTGATTATTTCAAAATAAATAAATCGAATGAGCTAATTGCTGTACCACATAAAGCCGTCTATCTAAAATAGCAAATTCCAGATACGATTTTCTTAGATTAACCCCTAAATCTATTAAAAAGAGAAACGTCTTTACACTAGAGTTTTTAATTTCTAACATCGGTAGTTCAGTAGTTATCGGAATCATATATAAGGTAGCAATTTCTAATTTCATACGTGCTTTACGGTGAAAACATCTAAAATATGTACAAAGAAGTACATAATACAAGTGATGTCAACAGAACTGCAGTGGGCCAGCGCAGTTTACTAAAACCTTTTTTTTGCCCGACGGGAATTCTTTACGCATAATCCGCGCCCAGGGGAACGCAGTAGTTATGTGGGACTCTCCCCCTTAATGGAGTGTTACGTGTAAACATACTGTAAATATTCTTTGATAATTAGCTTTTTAATTTGTGACATGTTATATAATTTTCATACTCTTTGGATATAAAACTGTAAGCGGTTACCATGGGAACATGTTGTTGTTAAGTCAGGGAGATGAATAAAAAGATAACTAACATGGAATATATCGTTTAATTCTCAACAATTATACCCACTAAATCCCTCGGTTCCTCCAACGCATTAGGCCGGGGCCACGGGCACGCTTTTACTTACTTTCGCGGCCCTAGCTTGAGTATACTAAGACCTAGTCAACCCTAACGTTAAGTCCCTCGGTGGGTGTTTTTTGATGACAAGAACGAAATACCAAAAGTTGATTTCTCGGAATATAATCATTGCCATTTATTTTTTGTCCTGATTCATTAATATTTATAAAACAACCTATTCATAAAATATTGTTTACATTTGTCAAATTATCAATAGCAAATGTCAAAATGACATGATTTGACAAACCTTGGCAATCTCGCTTCCTTGATGTTGGGGCAGCAACTTATAGTCTCTTTACCACATTAGGGTTTTTATCCAAAATATTTACCCCCTAAGTTTAATGGCGTGTTAATAAATAGCCTAAAGCATGACGCAAGTGTAGGGGTCTTTATTAAAAAAGAGTTATTCAAAAATATGCTGTAATTGCTGACATCTTAGACAACAAAGGAGTGTGTGTTTACTCTTTATTATAATAGTATAGATATAAATCAAAAAGTATTAAAATAAAATAGTGAACCTAATTATCATACTAGTATGACCTGTATAAAGGTTTTATGAACCTTTAGAGCATTAAAATTCTTTTAATTTACGTCAATGATAATTATGACGTGCGCAACTGCATTTTTTCAAGAAGTTAAATGCGAACCTTTTGAACACATAAAAACAATATGATCTTGGAACTTTTTTCTTTTTTACTGTAACCATGTTTTTAATATCACAGGAAAACTTAAACAAACTTATTAAAGTTCCCGTGCGGCTTCATCCGCATGAAATTAAAAAAAAACTTTATTTTATTGTTTACATTTGTCAGATTCTCAATTGCAAATGTCAAAATTACAGTTACCATAACCTTGCTTCCTTAATCTTGACTTTAACCTTTCGAAAACAAACTTTAAAACAAAAATTCAAATAGCCATCTCCGTCTGTGCCAGGTTTCATCGAGATCCGTTCAGCCGTTTAGGCTGCAGACCCTAACAAACATCCATGCGTCCATCTAAGATTTGGAATTTATAATATTAGTAAGATTTTATTTTTTCTTCACATACATTTATACTCCCTTACCGTGATGTGTGACTTTCTTTTTATCTTTTGATTTATCATATTTTTCTTTATTATTGAATTATACACTTCTTTAACTTTAAATAAAAACATGTCAGTGGCCTTACTATACATAATACTTAATGTTAAGTATTTTATATATGTAAGCTGTTGTTTTTTTTAAATAAATAAATTAATAATTAAATAAATAAACAGGTTGTAGTTTGTGACCACATGAACTTTTTTTCCAATTTATTTAGCCCTTAAGTTTAATAGCATGACAATATATAGCCTAAAGCGTAAGTTCAGGGCTCTATTAAAGAAAGAATTATTCAAATATATGATGTGATTACTGACATATTATGCCACGAAGTAATGTTTGTTGACACTTAATTATATGAGTATAGATAAAATAGTGTGCAAAACAAACTTATAATAACAAGAAATATAAATACGAGCTAGTAGACATTTTTGCTAATTTTGCTAATACCTAAATTACCTCTAAAAGAGATATTTTACTCACTATCCTGTAACTCCGTCTCCCCTTCCCGTCCTTGTTAAGTGTTTTTGTAAACCGCTTACCGTGACAAATATCAAGCCCCTCACAAATTTTGTTCATAAACTAACCATATTATGTTCACTCTTTAATTAAAGATGACAGTAATCATAAAAAAATACTTTAAACCTCAATAAACAACTAAACATGCCTAAAAGTATGACATTTTTCAAAGAAAAAAAAAACAACATTATTAAAATTTTGTTAATTTTATAGCCGCCACTAAACTGATCTCGGCAACAGAGATTGTAAAATTTATTAGCAAAAAAAATGTTTTGCTGTTTTAGTAATAAATTATTGTCAGGCACTTACAACTATATTACCTTGAGAGGACTATGGCCTCATAAAAACTATTTTGATATATGAATTTTAAATAGAGATCATTTCGTGGTTACTAAGCACGTGACATGATGTTATTCCAAAATATTTTAAACGGAAGATTTTATAATTTAATTGATTCAAGTTGGACTAGCGTCAGTGGCTCAGTGGTTTAAACACTTGACTTGTAATCTAGAGGTCTTGGGTTCGAATCCCGCCGTGTACCAATGTGATTTTCGATTTTTCATATGTACATAATTTACCCGACTTTCTTACGGTGAAGGAAAACATCGTGATGCAACACATATCGGCGAAGAAATTCAAAGATATGTGTGAAGTCGACCAAACCCGCATTGGGCCAGCGTGGTTGACTATGGCCTAATCGCCTTTATTTAGGGTAGGCTCCGAGCCCCTCGGTAGGGACATATACTGAGCTGGTGATGGTGAAGTTAGACTAATTTTACAAATGATTTCACCAATAAAGATTTTTAGCTAAGTTTTTTTCAAAAACTGTAACAAACATCCATACATTTTAAGTTAAACTTTTGGATTTCTATACTAATGTTAGAAAGAGGAAAGTTTTGTATTTTTGTATGTATTGAAATAACTCAAAAAATACTAGGCCGATTTCAAAAATCCATTCACCATTAGACAGCTACGTTATCGCAGAATAACATAGGCTTCATTTTTTTTATTTCACGAGGGCGAAGTCGCAGCAACAGCTAGTAAGTATGATGTATAAATAAGTAACAAACAGGTGACTTTTCGAAAGTTGTCAGTTCCATACATGTTTGACTTTTCGATCAGTGATAGCGATAATCGAAATTGCTTTATCTAAGGCTTTACATAATTTGACTACTTACTTTTGACCGCGCCTTCCGCGTGGAATTAAAAAAACAATGTTTTCAGACCATCCCTTACGTCTATGCCAAATTTCATCGAGATCCGTTCGGCGGTTTAGACTATAAACTCTAACAAACATCCATCCATCTAAACTTTATTAAAAGTACTAGCGTTGCCCGCGACTTCGTCCACGCAATATTAAGATAAAGAAAGCAGCCTATATGTCCGTCTGTCAGCTACCGTTCAGTGAAAGTCCGGTTCAAATCGGCTTACCCGTTTAGGAAATTACCCGGAACTAACGCGGCTTACGGACAGACAGACAAAAAAAAGTTAATGCGATTTTCGTTATCGGCAACGCAAATACATCATCTTCTGGATATTACAGACACTCCAATATTAACTTAACTAACTTAATATAACGTGATATGTACTCGTAGATATTCAACTGTCAAATAGATTGTAAGCATGTTATCTGAAGCTATTTTTTTTTTTGTTGTCGCGGTGAATGCATTTACGCACTTCACCGTCCATGCTGCGGAGGCAGCAGGGACAGTTTCGCGTGGGAATGTTATCTGAAGCTGGTTAGTCTAGACTAGGCCATGACTGTTTTGAAAACTATAACGATATATTGACATTGAAAAATGTGAAAGGGAGTACATTTTTCTTTTTTTTTTACCATTCAATAAGTAAACACAAAAGTGATTGCACGGAATTTTATTTTTAGACTGTTATTTTTTTAATTACTTTTTTTAATGTATTTATGTACATTTTTTAAAATTTAAAAACGTTCTTTTATGAGTAACTATATTTTAATCTTTGGGTTTGCTTCAATTAAAAACTCCCAGAAAGCTCTGTATTAGAATATAAAATCTAGTTTTAAAATTTACAATTTTGGTACAAGACTTATTTAAGTAATTGTTGCTTGCGACTTCGCCCGCGTGAAATTTAAAAATAATTTCATTTCTAACGTTGAAAGAATTGTGCGTCTTCTCCGTCGGATAAGGGTAGGCAACGCATCTGCAATTGCGGATGTTTATAGGCAGCGGTCTTCGCCATTTTGGCGGATTCAGGGTGACGCTTTTTCGTTTGCAACCTTATGTATTATAAAAAATGTATAATTACCACAAATGACAAATAATATAAATAGCACACGTATATATTTCCGGATTACTGTATAAATAAACACAAAAGCAATTGTAAAGCAACCTTATATCTTTGATATTAACAATTATTAAAAAAAAAGTTTCATAAAACATAAGGAAAGAAATAAAATCACACATATTAATTTACAATTTATTAATATTTAACGTTTAGTGTTTTTCATATGAAAATTTCACTTTAGGAGTAACTTTAGAATTCTCCTTCTAAGGTAATATTAAATATTTTAATTATCTTTAAGGAATTCAGTGATTGACCTAAAGATATACGTTTGGCAAGCGGCTGTTGAAAAGTCGTTGGCGACATATTTATTCGCGTCAAGGATTGTTGATTTCCTCAGATAGTCATCGACAATAGCCCTTGAGTGTTCATCCATAGTTGGGCTTCTTGACTTAATCCATGAGAATACTAGAACAGAAATATATAAAATTTACTCTTCATCGAATTTCTTTTATCTATCGTAAACACACACTTCTTTATTGCAATTACAGCGATTTCTTGAATAATTCTTTTTTTTTATAATAAGCACTACATTTACGTCACGCTTTAGGCTATATATTTTCACGTCATTAAACTTAGGGGTAAATATTTTGGATAAAAACCCTCATGTGAGAAAGAGACCATAAGTTGTTGCCAACATCAAGGAAGCAAGATTGCCAAGGTGGCATGGCATGTCATTTTGGCATTTATATTATGTGGATGGAACAGCTAGTCCTAATATATACTAAGAGCAGTGTTAACTTATGCCAATTTTAAGTCGATCACATATTTGCGTCGGTGGCTCAGGGGTTAAACCATTTGAATTGTAATCTACAGGTCCTGGGTTCGAATCCTGACATGTACCAATGTGTTTTTTTTAATTTCACATCTACATAATTTACCCGTCATACTTACGGTGAATGAAAAAACATCGTAATACAACCCTACACATCATCAAAAAAAAATCCAAAGATATGTGAAGTCAACACGCTGTGGGCCTTTTTGAATTATGGCCTAGTCACCCCTAGGTGGCTGTAGGCTTTCTCAATGAGGCCGTCTAAGTTAGCTGACAACAATTGTACTAAAAATGAGAAATGCAATAATGGAATAAAGGAACTTTAGTAAAATGTTAAAACAAACCTTGATGGTTGTTGCCGTCGGGGAAATATTTGCAGCTGTAACCGATAGCGTAGTTTGTGTAGTCGGTGTCCAAAACAGTAAGGTAGGAATACTTCGATAGCCCTGTAATATAAAATAATATTTCAATTTTTTTATAAGAACGAAGAACGTTACAAAATAAAATAACTTAAGTCAAATAAGTAGAATAAAAATATTGTAGTTTCAAATCATTTCCCGTAGATGAAAATAAAAAAAACATAATGATCATAACATCTAAATATAAAAAATAGTTATTCGTCTCTTCCTTTTTTTAAATAATGCATACCAAAGTGTTTTAGTTTTAGACGAAAACTCTATTTTAGCGCCTTATAAAATACTAGCTTTCGCCCGCGACTTCGTCCGCGTGCAATAAAAAAAACAAAAGTGAGTAGCCTATGTGTTCTTCCAGACTATCCTCTACACCTATACCAAATTTTAGGCTACAAACTCTAACAAATATCCATCCATCTAAACTTTCGCATTTATAATATTTGGTATGACTAGATATTGCGACTTCGACTATATTACTCACGGACAACGTAACTTTTTAATGGTTAAAGAATTTTTGAAATCGTCCCAGTACTTTTTGAGTTATAATACAAAAATACATATCTATCCTCTTTATAACATAGATACGAGTAACTTACCATCAAAGGTATAAGTCAGCCTGATACGCGCAGGTCCCACGAGCGTCAAATCACCTTCAATGAATGATCGCACGCCGTCGATAACGTGACTGTTCTTTACCCTTCCAGCGTCGTAACCGTGAACAAAATATTCAGCAATCGTGCACTTTCCCTTGGTACCCTCTTCTCCCGCGTTGGGGTAACGCGCTAATTCGTACCATGTTCCTTGGTACTGCAAATATAATAAACAATTACACTGGTATTTCAAAAGAGTTTGTTAAAAAGTAAATATAACTAATTAAAGATATAACTTGGGTAATTCGCTTTGAGTGGAGTTTAATACTGTTGTTTGAATTTTAATATTGATTTACTGAAGTAGTATTTATACAAATATTTTTAATAGATATATAACTCGTTCAAATATTTTATTGTATTTAAATTACATAAGGATTTTTAAAACTTTACGATACCTCTAGCGCCATCTGTTCAATTTAAAAGACAGTTTCGGAACTGTACTGTTCAGTGTTGGTATTTTGTTTTAAAACATATTCCATAGATGTCACTAATTCATAGTTCATTTTTTATTTCTTTCGACTTAGTAGAATTTTAATACATTTGATGTAAAAAGTTGCATATTATGCGACGAAATGATGGGGACTTAAACCAGAAAGTGTTGAGATTGAATGTGGATGGCTACAAAGGAAGAGGAAGACCGAAGAAAGTATGGATGGATTGTGTGAAAGAAGATATGCTTAAGAAAGGAGTGGATTCAGATATGACGGCTGATAGAGATGTATGGAAGAGCAGCACATACTGTGCCGACCCTCCATAAGGGATAAGGGCAAGTGGATGATGATGATGATGATGTAAAAAGTTGCAGTATCGATAACTCATTTAACAAATACTTTGATAATAATTCTTCATCGTTTAGGAATTACAATCTTTACGAATCAAAATATTAAGAAGTAGCTTTCGCCCGCAATTTCGTCCGCGTGAAATTAAAAAGTAATATAAAATAAAGCTTTTGTTACTCGTTGATAACGTAGTTTTAATGGTGAAAGAATTTTTGTAATCGGCCCAGTAGTTTTTGAGTTATTGAATTACAATCAAACACACAGTTTTCCTCTTTATAATATTAATATAGAAAACAATTTTTTACCACTTCACACACTAAATAATTGTCAAAATTGCTCGATCTAGCATTTCTGGCCAGTTTGAAATTTTTCCTGTGAGAAATATTTTTTAATTAGTACTCACAGATGCAAAATCGAAGTTCTGTTGAGGTCTGATTGACGGACAGGGTCCATCATAGATGACGTCGGAAGACGCCGCCGCGACCGCGATCAAAGCAAACAATATGTAACAATGCATTTTGTTGTACTGCGGACCACTTGCAACTGTGAGTTTACGAACTGTGTGTTTCTGAAAAATTTCTCACTCAATATATACTGACTACTTCATGAAGGCCAAAACGTAATACTCAAAATAACCCTTGCTAAATTAAATCTACCGATTTATAATTTAAGACGCATTATTTTATGCGCATACGCGGAATATTTTATTTTTAACAAGGCCTATCGAGTATCATTGTACGGTAGATTCTTTAAATAGCAACACGAGATTGTTGTTGAAGCCACTTTTTAACTCTGCTTCACACAGTTTTGTCTGAAGAACTTGGATGTCGTATCATCTCTCTTTCATTCTCTTAATAAATAAAAGAGACAGCAATATAACGTGTATAAGTATCAGGGCAATGGAATTTTACGGCTAGAATGATCAAGTACAGTTAGCTGCACAAATTAGTGCACTCTTAAAAAGCTTCGAAAACTAATCCTTCGTTTTGCAATATATTGTTTGTAAGTATTCGTTTGTATTCGACGGTAAATACATGCTATTAAGAAATACGTGCAATTTTGACGCCGTAGTCGTAAGTAAATAAGTTTACAAATTTTTGTAAATTTTTACATATATGAAGCTGACTGTACATTGTATTAATATTTTGGTATCTTCAATTGTTTTAGAATATAAACGATTGACATTTTGTCGTAGCAGCATACTTGTATACTTGGATATTATAAGTACTTGTATAAAGGGCGTCACACTTGAAAATAAACTATCTACAATAGCGGATGCGTTACCTACACTTAATCGACGGAAGAGGAGACACACGTAAAGGGGAACTGCAACGTTAAATCCACGTTCCCTTCCTAACTTTTTCTTATAAGAAGAGTGGGGAAGGAAAGGAACTAAAGTTGGGCATCCTTCTCCTCTTTTTAATATTAGTATTCGATTCGATATTCGATCGGATAAAAAAATGATCAATGAAGTAAAAAGATGCTCGTAAATTTACTTCAACTGCATTTACATTGCATTTAATATTTTCGATAAGCGATAATTAAACATTACATAAATTAAATTGTTAACGTAATATTGAATGAATCGTATTCGAATTTATATTTAGATAAACTTTAAATTAGCAACAATACTTTTTTTAATTACTCTGTGTCTGCTTTTTTATTTAATTGGTGTTAACATAAGCAGTATATTGTTGTTTAAAGATGTAAAAGCAAGAAGTGTGTAGCCTATCTGTTCTTTCAGACTATAGACTTGTTGAGCCGTTCAAAAGATACCTTCTAACAATCATCCATATACGCTTTTGCATTCATAACATCGTTACTAGTGCTTTAAGCGCATTACATGTAGCAAATTCATCTTTTTCCTTATCCTACTCCCGTAGTGGCGCGACAGGTTTTTGTCCTCCACATAACTTTATCATACGTCATCTCACTCATCACTTCCTTTTCGATCATGTCACCTTTCACGCAATCCATCCATCTGTGTTCATGTAGAAACAATTAATTCAAACCCGACGTTATTTCACACTTTTATTCATATCTGAAATATCTTTATGTGATTTCGAATAAAACAAAGTCATAAGAACAAACATCGAGTTCGAATTGGGTACTACAAGGTTTTTAAAAATTTGGTGTACGCGCTACCGATCTTGTGGTCGTGGGTTCGAATCCCGCCATTCGTATATTGTTGTGAACCATATCCTAGCTCAAGCCTAGAGCTTAGTTGGAATGGTCAAAGGAAATGTTAGCAAATTAACAAAAATCTACTAATATTAAAAATGCGAAAGTTTAGATGGATGGATAGATGTTTGTTAGAGTTTGTAGCCTAAACGGCTCTACGGATCTCCATGAAATTTGGCACAGGTTTAGAACATAGTCTGGAAGAACACATAGGCTACTTTTTATCCCGGGAATAATTGAGGTTCCCGTGGGATTCATTAATTTAGTTTTTTAATGTTTACTCGATCATTCTGCAACGGTTCAACATATCTTATTGAAATTTGGCACAGCTATAAAACAAAATCTAGAGTACACATGGGATAAGCTTCATCCCCGAGAAATGTCCAGTTGCCGAGGGCTACGTAGCTTTTTGTAATTTATATAGTTCGTATGTCTTCTAATACCACGCGGACGAAGTCGCGGGCAACAGCTCGTATTTTTATAAAAAAAAACAAATAATACATGCTCTAACCTCGCGATTGTCAATGTTAATTAGGCGTTCACTTTTGTTTTTAGAGCCTAAATCTAGTTTTATTTTTTTGCTATTAGTCTCGGGCTTTTGACACTGACTTTTTGACTGGCATCTACATTTAGGCTGCATTTAAAATCTTAATGAATATTAATTATGGTTTACATTATAATTCAAGTAATTAATAAGGAAGCTTTGAAACTATATGCTGATTTTTTTGTAACATGTTTTAATAAATTTGGATAAAGAATTTGATGCAAACAATCTTTATTGACAAGAACACCATTTGTGTAATCTAGGCAATTGATTGCTTGGATTGCAAAACTCCGTAGCACGTGGAAAATATCTTGAATATTTGTGTTAAAAAATTGAAGTTAGCTGCGCTTTTATTTTATTTCTTTTATTATTATTAATGCTTAATATATGTTATTAAAACTTAATTTTCAGTTGGAATTTAAAATTACGTCAATATAAACAAGCAAGGTTTTTATTTAAATTATTTTATAAATTATTTCGTCTTCATAAAATTCAGAGAACTTATTAAAAAATCTCGCAAAATGCCTCGACAGAAACCGGAAACTCGAGTTAACTTGTTCTATTTTTAAAACACTGTTGTCACAACTTGACAAGGATTTTACGCCGAATAAAATGCAGGAAATAATATGAATGAACTTTGTACGTTAGTGCCGCGAAATGACCGAATTCTTTTAGTTACTTTTTTAGCAAATAATGTTGACAGACGACAGTATGAATATGTTATTTAAAATGGAAATATGTGTACTAATGCAGTACTAAATATTACACGAATTTCATTCCCTATATAACGCGGAAGGTTATCCATTTGGCGTGTACATTCCCCTAATTTTTAAAAGGACAAAATGAGAATGGTGACATTTTTATACAAGTGTACAATAAACCATTTGGAAAAGAAGGCCGTCCATGGGCGTCGTTGATCACCTTTGTGTTCCCGCCGCTCGTTTGCCCCCTTCTCATATAAAAAAAACCCTATAATGCGACTGTGGTACTGTCAACTGTAACATCAACCGCGTTATAGGGAGGTTTATTGTACACTTGTATAGAAATGTCATCATACTCATCATATATGTGGTTACAATTAAGAAAAAAGTGTATTCTGTATGAAACAAATTATCTCAAAAACTACTGGACTGCTTTAAAAAATTCTTTCGCCGTAAAGAAACTATATTGTCACTTTTTTATATTAAAAGATGGCAAATGAGCAAGCGACCACCTGAATCCGCCAAAATGGCGAAATGACCGCTGCCCATAGACATCCGCAATTGCAGATGCGTTACCTACCCTTAATAGACGGAGGAGAAGACGCACATAAAGAGGATATTTCCCCTTCCTATGCGTCTCCTCTACCGTCAAATCCACTTTCCCTTTCCATCCTTTCTCCTAAGAAAAAACTCCACTTACCCTTCCCATCCTTTCTTATAAGAAAAAGGGTGGGATGGAAAAAGGACCAAAGTTGGGCCTCTTAACTTAAACTTAATGACATAGGATACGTTTGTATCTAGATTTTAAATTCCACACGGACAAAGTCAAGAGTAAAGCTAGTATTAGATAAGATAGAGATTTCAATAAATTTAACTTAGTAATTTGACGGTGATTGTAAAATGTATCGTTTTATTCCAGAATCTATTCGACGCTTGAGAACATAAAAACATGCCACAGCAAGGATTTAAAAATATGAATGTGATTTTTTTTTAATAAAATTTGCTTATAAACGATCAGTCACTTTTCAAAAATGACTTTTAGTTTATTTTAAAATTATTTACTTACTTAATTTAATTTTACGTTTTTTCTTAAGTGCTGTACTTTTATATTTATATCCATAAAGAGTAGTTTCTAAAAAAAAACAACAGGTGCATCTAAATAAAGGCAGTTGTTTTTACACTTTTATATGAAAAAATAAATGTTTATTTATCAGTTAATAGTCCTCGACTGCAGCTTCGATCGCGAATTAAAAACGAACAAAAAACTTAATTAGTAGCCTATATGTTATTCTAAACTATGTTCTACATCTATGACAAACTTTAATTACATCCGTATACATGGTGCTAGCCTATATGTTCTTCTAAACTATGTTCTACAAACATTAATTACATCCGTATACATGGTGGTAGCCTATATGTTCTTCTAAACTATGTTCTACAAACATTATTTATATCCGTATACATTGTACTAGCCTATATGTTCTTCTAAACTATGTTCTACGAATATTAATTACATCCGTATACATTGTACTAGCCTATATGTTCTTCTAAACTATGTTCTACATCTATGACAAAATTTAAAAACATCTTGTGCTGTTATGTGAGAACAAACATGATTAAAATGGCCTACTTGTATAGTCGTAAATAAAGAAATAAGGGCTTTTTATTGTTTGTTCATTGCCATTTCACAAACTTAATTATAGTTACGAGCGTCTTTAACATTTGTGAAAGATATTGCGCGAAAGTTAATCCACAAAGAAACTGATAAAATAAAAGAATTCATTATCTAAAATCCAATAAACACTACAAATAAAAAAAATTCAAAGCCATCTTATAAATAGAACAACATAATGTTCGCTGGAATTTCACTTCTTAAAAGTATTTTGATCTCGAAACAAATATACATTACATCATAATTTAGAGCGATTTTTTTTTTAATGAAAAATGCATAAAAGTAATGAAGGTAAAATATCATGATAACGCTAGACATGCATAAAAAGGGCATAAAGCATCAAAAAAAAAAAAATTTTTTTTCTCAATAATCTCTAGAACGTTGGTGGATGTTTGTTACCATACCACATTAAATTAACTGGATTAAACAGAGATAGGATACAATCTAAAACAATTTATAGGCTATAATTAATTTCTAGAAAATCTACTGGTCCCGTGGAAATTTCATCATCATCACCAGCTCACTACACGTCCCCTGAGGGGCTCGGAGTCTATCCTAAGTTAGAGTGACTCGGCCATAGTCAACCACGCTGGCCCAGTGTGAGTTGACTTCACACACATCTTTGAATTTATTCGCAGATATATGCAGTGGTTTTGTTTGCAACAGATTGCATCACGATTATATCCTATTTAACAACGCCGGGTAAATTTAATTATATTTAATGTTGCTTTTTAAATAGTAACTGATTTTTTAATTCCACACAAAGTCGCGTGTTAATAGCTAGTTTAAAAATATATTTTAATTGTGTACATTGCAAGTATAAAAATAGTCTCATGAAAATTGACGTAGTATTGTTTTCTCGTCATGACATTCGTCTTATTTTTGGCCTTGAGTGTACTCGTATGTAAAGGTCTGTTCTCATTGTAGCGTGGTGCAGGTCGACCACCTGTATGCCACTGAAGGGGCGATGACAGAATTACATACGTCATACTTATACAGGTTCTGTCTACGTTCGTAGTGATAGGGTAACAAGAATAATATTTGTTTTGCGTTTTGTATATCGATTATTTTTTTCTCTTATGTCAAACACAAGTAGGTCGTATGATTTTTTTGGATCTTCAGAAAGAATAAAACACAAGATTTTTTTATTTACTTTTTAATAACCATCTAACTTACTTACTACTATAAATTACTTAATATTATAAATGCGAAAGTTTGGATGTATGGATGGATGTAATGGTGTGATGTATGAGCGCTACGGAGCTCGATGAAATTCAGGACAGATGGGGACTAATATTGCTATAATTTGCGTTCGGCTTCGCGGGCAAAAGCAAGTATAACAAACTCCGTAAGCCAAATTTGTTAGTTTTTATTTATTTTTATTTAGCGCAGTCCTGGCACACCACAGTCTCATCTTCTACATTATAATAAACTAGCTGTTTCCGTGCGATTTCGTCCGCACGTAATTATAAAAATTGCATTGTTTACGATGTCAAATTATCAATTGCAAATGTCAAAATGGCTTCACATGATGACAAACCATGGAAACCTTGCTTCTTTAATGTTGGCAGCTTGTAGCTTATGGTCCCATATTAAAGGTTTTTTTCCAATGCATTTATGTCCCAAAGCGTATGGTAAGTGTAGGGCTTTTTATTAAAGTGGGAATTATTCAAAAATATGCTGTGATTGCCGACATCCTATGCCACAAAGTAGTGTGTTTACGCTTTGTTATATTAGTATAGATGACCTCTAAGTCAACGAGGGCTCTGTAGATCGTCGAATAGGAAAAAACTTATTACACTTACCAAATATTGCAAAAGTAAATTATTTGCAAAAGTTTATTACAAATTATAAAGTGGAAATATTTGTATTTTTGTATTTATTGAAATAACTCAAAAACTACTTGACCGATTTTAAAAATTCTTTTACCATTAAAACGCTTCTTTATCAAGTAACATAGGCTTTTTTGCTATTTTTTATTCCACGCGGACGAAATCGCGAGCAACAGCTAGTTTGTAATACTTTAAAGTTTTGATGCTTTGCTATTTAATTAAATACAAAATAGCTACACATATTTTTGCACGAACTATTTTCGAGCACATCTGAAACCTTCTTCAGAGGTCTGAGATTATTTCGCAGTCACGGTCAGTCTCTGGCTTATCTGTTATCCTAACACATGGTAATGAACTAAGCTTTAAACCAAAACATTTAGCTGTTAGTTATATTTTAATAATAAAATAGCTGCTGTATTTACTGCATCTTTACAATTAGTTCTGGATAACGAATGGACACTTTTAAGTTCACCTTTATGTATTTAAAAAGTAATAATAATCTCACTTTTTATCTTACCAAACGTATATCGTGGTAGAGCCCGCTTTAACATCTTCACACGAATGGTTCAGCTCGCCCGGTGAAATACCACGACCACACAGAAGACAGGCGTAAAGTGAAAGCAATTCCGCGTTTCGTCTGATGAGTGTGGTGCCGGAGGCCCAATTTTAGTCCCTATCCCGTCCCACCTTTTTCTTTAAGAGAAGGATGGATAGAAAAGTGGATTTGACGGTGGAGAAGACGCAAAGAATGGGGAAATATCCTCTTTATGTGCTTCTCCTCCTTCGTCGATTTAGGGTAGGCAACGCATCTGCAATTTCGGATGTGTATGCTGCCCATACATGGTCGCTTCGCCATTTTGGCAGATTTAGGTGTCCGCTTGCTCGTTTGCCACCTTTTTGTATAAAAAAAAAACTATCTTTCGCCCGCGACTCCAACCGCATGGAATGAAAAGAAAAGTCAGTAACCGATGTGTTCTATACTATGCATCTATGGAAAATGTCATCTACTCGTAGATCCATCCATCCAGTCATTTAAACTTTCGCATTTATAATATTTTAAGTAAAATGAGAAATTTTAGTTTGATTGTTACAGATTGTAGCCTAAACGATTGAATAGATCTCAATGAAATTTGGCACAGATGTAGAGGATAGTGTAGAAGAACATATAGGCTACTTACTTTTGTTTTTTAATTTCAAACGGACGGAGTCGCGGTCGAATACTAGTGCATGATAAAATCTAATTAGACACGTAACAAACTAATTAATACTGATCAGTCCCGATTTAAAGTCCTGCAAAATTGTCAACTAATGGATAACACAATTTAGAATTTGCATTCAACGCCTACATAAAATTATGCTTAGTTTTTCGACTGCGTCTAAATGTCAAGTTAAAAGTTTTTACTTCTAAGTAAGTTTTTGCAGCGGATTATCATACATAATAATGACCACTTAGTTATTAAAATATGTTAGCAGACAGAAAAATAATTTGAAAAATATTAATAAAATGTATCTGCAGATAGCAGAATTATAGGCCTAGATAGAGATGGTGGCATGATTAAGAAGGGAGTGAGGACTGATGACGGAAGATAGATCGATTTAGAGTACTTCAACTTGAGATATCTCTATAGATAAAGACAGGAAGATAGTAAAGTATCTTCTATTTAAATTAATATTTGTATCTAAAATGAATAATATTGTTAATCGACGTTTTACAATATCTTCTAATGCTTTCAATAAAGATTGTTTTTAACTAGTTTTTTTTATCGTAGAAAAACACATTGCATTTTTGTCAACATGAGGCAAAATCCTGTTGATCTTTTAATCAAAATGATTGACAATTAATTTGCTCTTTATGACTTTAGAAATCACACAAAAAAAGATTTTTAGTTCCACATAGTTACCGTATTCGAAGTTCAACTAAATGACAATAATAATTTTTAAAATCAAAAACCACTGACGAAATACAAAAATAAATACAAAATATATTAACAGATAACATTACCAAGGGTTATTTTGAATATTAATACAAAATGAAACGGCCTTCGGCGCAAGAGTAATTGGTATATATTGTGCGAAATAATTTTAGTAAGACAGAATTTACTAGTACGTCCTAGTTGCAAGTTGCTTACATCAATATACAAATATGCTTCGTTTGTGTCTATTCGCTTTGATCTCCGCCGCGTCAGCTGACGTCATCTTCGACGGACCCTGTCCCAGTGTGAAGCCGATGGAGAACTTTGATTTCAATGCCGTAAGTAAATCAAAGTACATTTCTCTTGTAATAATTCCAAACCAAACGCACTACAATGGCAAATGTTAGATAACTAACCTAAAGACATCTTAAAATTCCTGATGCTTTTAGACAACATTTTCAGATTCAAACACACACACACAAACAAAAATGTTTTTTTACAATCAAAAAAAGAGTACTTTTTATACTCGAAAGACGTAAGCAAAAGCATAAGACAGGATAACGAGAAAAGTTGGAATTGCAAATCAAAATATTACGATAACCAAATAGATTCCTAATGAAATAATGGACAATACTTGAGATCTCTGTAATATTGTTCGAATGTCTACATTTCAGTATCAAGGAGCCTGGTATGAAATAGCTCGTTACCCGAATGCTGGTGAAGAGGGCGCTAGAGGCAAATGTACCGTGGCTGAGTACACAGTATTCGGTGACAGCGGCAAAGTTAGAAACACCCACGTCATAGATGGAGTGCAATCATTCATTGATGGAGATTTGACTCTTGTTGGACCCGCACGAGTCAGGCTTACGTATACTTTTGGAGGTAATAAATATAAAAATATCTTTGTGTTTATATCTATTTATTTTGTGTCAAATTTCACAAATTTTTCACGAAATTATTTCGTATGTTGTCTAAAGTTGAGTAATATTATGCACTATTCCTCTTAAAAATGGATCGTATTTCGAGATTGATATTTCGATATTTAGATCGATTAAAGAAGTAAATGGTTTTAAAATATTTACTAAACAACATCACGGATATATAAACATGATTCAAAATCAAATATTGATGCCGCTAGTTATTTCTATTTCGCATTTGAATGGAGAGAATTCCTGCTACCCACACTGCTGTCTATTTCCGAATAACTTTAAAACTATTTAAACAACTATTCTGTTCAACCTCTGTTAATTAAAGTACGCATCTCAAAATTCTTATGTCTGTAGTCTCTTCAATATTTTGAATTCCCGTAGCCGCTTGCTCATAAAAACATTGCCTTGCATATCAGTTAATGCAGTGTTCATTATTAAGGAATAATGCAGAGCATGTAATTTTTTACGTATTTACTTATTATTAAATAGTACTTTTTTAACAATTTAATTTACGATAAATGTGTAATTCCATTGCCCAAATTGTACATGCTTATGCTGTTTTATTAATAAACCAGATAAGGATAAGAATATGACAAATAACCGACCTTTAATACTTCGAATATATCAAAATAAACACTGACTTTATTTACATTTCAGGACGATCAAAATACTCCTACCTCACTGTCCTGGATACCGACTACCAGAACTATGCCATTGGTTACAGTTGCAAATACTTCCCTGACGGCAACAACCATCAAGGTATTTAATCCATTAATATTTATACTACTAGCTATTGCCCTCCGTTGTGAAATTAAAAAAAAACGAAAGTAAGTAGCCTATGTTCATACTATGCTCTATATCTGTGCCAAATTTCATCAAGATCCATTCCGCAGTTTATGCTACAAACTAAAAAACATCTATCAAAGTAATAAAAACTCCACATCATTGATTACAAAATCTATAGAAGGCAATCTATTAAGAAATGAAGTGATAAGAAAGTATGCTTGTGAAGATGACTGAATTAGTATTGAATAAAATTTATATGTACATTTCGGTAGTGGACATTAAATTGAACTTTTCGATAATTCTTTTGTGCTTAATGCAATCGTTTTGCATCTCTAAAAATGATCTAGATGCACTCATACTTTCTCGGAACTGTACAGAGCACTTATTTTGTGAAAACAGCAACAACGTAAATATAGCCTAAGCGGTGAAAACTGTAAGAGACTGACAAATGTTCCTGAATGTTTATCAATATATTTTTTCTAGTGTTCTCTTGGATCAAGTCAAGGAGCCCCGCTATGGATGCCTACTCAAGGGCCATTGTCGATGACTACCTGAAAAAATCAACAATCCTTGATACCAACAGATACGTCGCAAATGACTTTTCCCCATCAGCGTGTCAAGCGGGCGTCGTCAAACCTATTACTGAATTCCTTAAAGAATAAGTGTAATTATTGTTTTAAACATATAAATAAATAATTAAATAAGGTATTTATGATTTTTATTGTTTAAGACTGACTTTACAAATCCACAATTTTTAAACAGGACTGTGAAAACCAGCTAAATCGTAATATTATTGAGTTACTTAAAAATGATAATTGCGGTCGGAATTAAGTGTTCTAATTCTCATTAGTGAATGTTTCACCTTTTTTATCTTATTTTGATAAACAAAGGTTAAAAATGCGTAACTTAGATAAACGGTTTAATATTTTTTAATAGTAGAGGTTTACTAGAGGTATAATAAGTCATAATAAGGGAAAAACGTCAGCGAAACTTTTCACTTAAGAACCTATGATTATGTTGTAACCTCCCTTAGAACTTGTCGGAGGGACGATAGGTTTGCAGAATTTAATTCCGAAGGGCATTACAATCGCTTAATATCAGAAACACCGTCCTTCAAAGTGGAACGTCACACACTATCTAACTGGATTGCAAACATTTACAAAGATTCAGCAATTGACTTTATACGTGCGTACCAAAGCGCATCATTCCACCATTCAATGACAACTGTCAAATGTTTTATTTCTTTTGATGATTAGTGGATCCCATCGTTATTTCGATGATTTCTCCAACGTCAAGGTTGAAGATAATCTATACATATAATAAAGCGTAAACACACACTTCTTTGTTGCCTAAGATGTCAGCAATTACAACATATTTTTGAAAAATTCTTTTTTCATAAAAAGCCCTACACTTACGTCACGCTTTAGGCTATATATTTTCACGCCATTAAACTTAGGGGGTAAATATTTTGGATAAAAACCCTTATTTGGGAATGAGACCATAAGTTGCTGCCAACATCAAGGAATCAAGGTTGTCATCATGTCATGTCATTTTGACATTTATAATTTGACAAATGTAAACAATAAAATAAAATTATCATAATTTCATGCGGATGAAGTCGCACGGGAACAGCTAGTTGATAGTATAAAAAAACAAGATTAAAATTCGAATAGCAGTTAACTAGATAGACGGAGTCCAGTGTGATTAACAAATGACTAGTAGCTGATAATATCAATCGAGGCGCTGAAATAAGACAACACCAATGTTACTTTACTATACAATAATGAGTAAATTCACATATTTTAATTAAAGTTTAATATAATTAGTACTGTCATATGTTACTTGATCGCCGACTTGACAACGCAATCGGAGTTTTCCGTTCAAAAACTCAAATTACAATAACAATACAAAACAATTTCATATGATGCCAGCATTTAAAATTGTTATACAACTAGCTTTCGCCCGCGACTTAGTATCCTATGTGTTCTTGCAGACTATGTCCTACATCTGTGCCAAATTTCATCAAGATCCATTTAGACGTTAAGGCTCCAAACTCTAACAAACATCCATCCTTCCAAACTTTCGCATTCGTAATATTGAGTAAGATAGTAATTTTCGCGCCGTTACATTTATATTGTCCCTGTTTAAAGGTTGTGTGGTTTCCACGTATATTTTAGTATTTCAGAAAACTTAAAAAATCATGTATTAACAATATTGAGCTGTTCGAATTATTTGCTAATACATACTCTTTCACTCACTTTATTCATTTCGTATCTGATTTCGAAACCTGTTGAACCGATTTATAAATTCGTACACAAGACTACTTAAATCTTTGAAACACCATATCTCATCCCATTCCATATAGTTTCTTACGCAAACAAATACGATGAACTAAATAGACTTTCTCCGATGTCAATTTGAATTAAGATTGTCCTTGTATTCTTTCGACCAACTAATTTATTAAACGAAAATTCAAGTCTATTAAGTTCTAAGTTCTGTGTAGGTTCTTCTGGGATATAATTTTAAATAAAAAAAATCTTTACAGTTTTTATAAGTTTATTGTATACAGTGTGGAAAATTCATGAAGGTTACAAATCGTCCAATAGACTTAATAATATTGATTCTGTAAATCGGTCAATGATTTAACAACCGACGCCTGGCATGCTGCGGGGGAGTAATCGTTGCCGATGTATTTGTTTGAATCGAGTATTATGGATTCGTTTAAGTAGTTATTAACCAAGGCCCTTGAATTCTCGTCCAATCTGGTAGTCCTTGACATTATCCAGGATCTCACTGTAACAGATACCATATTACAACTTTAATTACACTTTGCAACGCTTAAGGATGACAGAATTCAATTTTCTAATGCCAAATACGCGAACACTGAGAGAGAAATTTTATATGGATGTTGATGTGATTATGTAACTTAGTTTATAAAATATCCAATTACTAAAAAACTGAGATCAAACATCTGAAACTAAACTATCGCAAAACTGTTTAGTCTCGCTTTGATTCCTATGATGCTATTATGAAGGTGGCCGCACTAATCGATTTTTAGTTATGCAACTATACAGAATTAGCTAACAATCGACAATCGCACAACAATTGTGTGGTAGTTTAATCAAAGGTGTGCGCTCGCTCCAAGACAACTACCAGAGAAGTGGTAGATTTAATATTTTAGACAAACTATATTGTAATTTTTAATCATTAAATGTAGCGAGTATACTAAGAACACCAAATATACCTCACCAAACCAAATACTAACAGTGGTATAACAACAACATCGTTTAGATGAATTAACCGACTCGACCAATGATTATCCTCTTTCTGAGTATATCCCTCTAATTTCTAATGTGGACATTTATGGACAGCGATTGATTAGATATTTAGCTGATCTTATATCTCTTGTTCGTTTGCCACATTACTTATACTAATGAATTAAAAGCCAAAACATTTCTGAGAAACCACACAAATGTGTTACTAACTGTCGATTATCTTATCTGCCAGATTGTAGACAGGTAATTAAAAAGTAAGATAATAAATGAGACATTAGAACCAACCTTGATGTTTGTCGCCGTCGGGGAAGTATTTGCAATTGTAAGCGATAGCGTAGTTCGAGTAGTCTGTGTCAAGTACGGTAATGAACGCGTTCTTTGACACACCTAAAATAAAATTGTGTTATCTTGTATATTTTCAATTAATCTACATTGAACTTGATTTTATTATATAGAAGCATACATCAATATTTTTTCACTACAGAGTGTCGTACGTACTCTTCCATTTATCTCCTTTACACAATCCATCCATAATTTATTCGGTCTTCTACCTTTGTAGCTAATCATTCGACGGTGGATGGTCGTTTTTTACAGTTTGTAGCCTTAACTGCTGAACGGATTTCGATTAAATTTGGCATAGATGTAGAGGATAGTTTAGAACACATGGGCTTACTTTTATTTTTTGTTTTAATTCCACGCAGATGGAGTCGAGAGCGAAAGCTAGTGTTATCATATTTACATATATCTTTAGAAAGTCTTCTTAATAATTTGGGATAGTTAGATTCCTCGTTGTTTTTTAATTTAGTTGTTGATTCTATAGCTTCTTATAAATTCTTTAGCTTCAAATTAATAGATTACTTACCTCCAAAAGTCAAGGTGGTCATCATTGTACCAGGTCTAGATAGCGACAAATCTCCTTCAACGTATGTCTGTACACCATCAACGATGTGGGTTTTCTTAACTCTGCCGTTATTATTGCCATATACGTAGTATTCAATTAGAGTACATTTACCCTTAACACCTTCTTCGCCGGCGTGAGGGTAACGAACCATTTCGTACCATGTTCCTTGGTACTGAAAAGGAGAGGAACAACATTTTTGAAATATATGTTTTTTTTCTTTACCATAAATCTGAAGTTAAAGAAATTTTAGTGTAGTTTTTAATGCGTTAATCTTGTAATAGATACTCCCAGCAGACAACTCTTGTTTTGTTTTTCGGAGGGAAATATTTAAAGCACAACCACTTAACACTAAACGAATAGACAATATCAGACTGGAATTTGTATTTGTTGCTAAATTAAGTCTCATAATCATTGGTAATTTGTCACTTTTAATTTAACACACCTGTTTTTTTTTTAATAAATTTTTACAGGTGGCTTTGTGCAAAGCGACGATAACGCCCCATAAGTCTAAAACTAACAAAACTCAGTTATCAAAATTCTTTCTAAAACAGTTGTCGGCCAACTTAAACACCATCCCGGCCTCAACACACGTATTTATCTCATCGATTCCTATTGTTCGATTGTTCCTACTACAACTTTTATGATCAATTTACGAATTTCAAAAGACTTATGTTTTAGAATGTTATCAATCCACATCCATACTATTATAATAAAGCGTAAACACACACTTCTTTGTTGCCAAAGATGTCAGCAATTACAAGACATTTTTGAAAAATTCTTTTTTAATAAAAAGCCCTACACTTACGTCACGCTTTAGGCTATATATTTTCACGCCATTAAACTTAGGGGGTAAATATTTTGGATAAAAACCCTAATGTGGGAAAGAGACCATAAGTTGCTGCCAACATCAAGGAAGCAAGGTTGTCATCATGTCATGTCATTTTGACATTTGTAATTTGACAAATGTAAACAATGAAATAAAATTTTCAAAATTTCATGCGGATGAAGTCGCACTGGAACAGCTAGTTACACAATATAACTCACGCCCGTAACCCAAAAGGGTCCCACACTATTCTTGCTTCTTCACAAACACTTTTGAATTACACATAATTAGAACATCTCAGATATAAAATATGTTCCCTAACGATAATTGATTTTATTTACTTTGAGACTTCACTGTTCAAAAACTTACGTTGTTTATAATCATTGGAATACTAATAATATTCCGGGTGTATTTCTGCAATAACTCGTGGGAATTCATACTTATAACAAACCATGTTCATGTTTGACCTCAATTTGAATTTAAAGCACTTATATCGTGTCTTAGTATTCACTTTTTATCTGATTTACGATTGGTGACGTGTCACTTTGCTATATGCTTGTAATTTAGGATCGAATTTGTGTCATTTTGCTGTAATTTTGAAATCATTTTAATGTCATTTTACTGGTAATCAACTTTAGTATTATCTTAGCAGAATTAGGAGCTAAATTAAGGTACAATGTCTAAAAATTTCCGCGCATAAATTACATTTGAAATTGAATATTCTAACACTTACAGCGGAGAAGTCAAAGTTTTCTTTAGGCTGGACGTCAGGACAGGGTCCATTGTATATGACTTCAGCAGATGCGGCTGCGATCAGAGTAAATACGAACAAATAATACATGTTTATTTACTTTATGTACTGCAACACAATCTGACTTGACTCTGTCTCATTCAAAATATATCGCTCAATATATACCCATTATTGTTGTACCGAAGGCCAATATTTCTTTTAAAAAATTTTCAAAATACCCTTATGTAATTTAAGTTTACTGTATATCGTTTTAAAATTCATTTTATCGTGCCAATATATGTTGATTACCTTCTTTTCGAAAAGGTATACAACAATTGTTATATTTTTTGAAAAGTGAAACAATCGACTTTTTTTCTGTACCAACATATTGACGCTGTTTTTAATTATTTCTTGTTTTTTAAAGATCTAATCTTTGTGTGGATTTTCGACGTTTAAACCTCATTCCTGGGTAAGCAATGAAACGATTAAAATAATACTACAATATATACTACAAAGTATGGATCTGTGAAAGAAAAGAATGAACTCCGATATAATGCCTGATAGAGATGTCTGGAATATTAGTACAAACTATGATGCATCTGTGCAATAAAAAGTGTAGGTAAGAGAATTAAAATAACAAAATTTAAGAAAATACAAGACCAAGAGTAAAGAAATGCATATGTTTATGACATGAAGTCAAAAATATGAAACATCACATTGCAAGTGAAAAGATTCAATTTATCCGAAATGTTCTTATTTCGTTTATTTTTTACATTTGTTAAAACATAAAATCTCTATTACCCAGATAACATCCTGTATAAGATTTGATTTGCCCATCTTTCCGCCCAGTCTCATAAATAAATTTTCACACTAAACTAGACTTAATATTACGTTTGTGACAATAACTGTAGGTATTTTGTACTAGAATATACCCTACGACAGATATACCTTAATCGTCAAAATCTTAATAGAATAACATAAGCTTAACAACAACTAAACGAAATTCTGTCTTATCTAGTACGAATACAAAAAAACAGACGAATCGAAAACTTCCTGTTTTTGGAATCGATTAAAAACAGTAAAATTTACATACATTTACTTAAAATATAGAGAGAGTAGTTGACTGAGGTATATTTCCTACAAATTCCTGAGAAATTACTATAAAAATAAATAAACAAAAGTGAGTCAATGACGTCAGAACTATTGAATCATGTCAATCATAAAAAATAATGTCACAATAATATTCCATTGTATCACAAACTATGTAAAAGAAAAAAACATGTCAATAAAACTGTATAAAACACGAGCTGTCGTCCGCAAACTTCGCTAGCGCAAATTTGGACCACACGTAACACCGTTTTACAGCGCGAAATTTAAAAAAAAGTAACCTATATTATGCCCGTCTACGTCAGCTACCCGTAATAAACGCGGCTCATGGACAGACAGACAAACAATTTTCGTTATCAACAATGCAAATTCGTCATGTTCCCGAAATCTGGAATCTTTCTTTTTCAGAACAGACACACCAATTTGATTTTATATATCATGGGCGTCACAGCCATGTTATGCTTTAATAAAATATAGTCTTCATTACCTCTTATGTTTTCTTCCAATTTGCACTAAATAACCTTACCAAGATGGCCATCGTGTCTATCTATCTCTATTAGTTTAAAACCTGACCACCACAATTAACAGCAACCGTCAACGCCAAAATGGTACTTATTACCACGTCTTATAGTCCGTTTCATCTGAAGATTTGTGAAAAAAATATTGCACTACCCTCACGTGTTTTAACGGTCATTAAATAAATGACAATCTATGATAGTGTGTTTTGAATTTTTTAAATCTGTCGTTACATACTAAAAAAAAAATCCTTTATCTATTATTTACTAAAATTAATATATCTAAATTGGATTGTAGATTGCATATTAGCTGAACTCAGTATTAATTTCATTAAACCATTTTTTTTAGGTTATAACTCTTTTTTTAACAATCGTTTCAAACCAGTAATATCAGCCAGTCATTTAAGGAATTTATCTTTTTAATAAAAAAGCTTTTGTTCAATAGCTGTAGTCTAAACATTACAAAGATAAAACTTTGATTTAAAACGACACGTCATTTGTCACTTCACTTACATTTTTTATAAAAAAAAAAGAATTATTGCTTCGCTGACAAAAGGATAAATTTTTTGCGGCATTTATTTTTTATAATATAAGGTGGCAAACGAGCAAGCGGCCACCGGCACCGAAATGGAAAGCGACCGCGGCCCATAAACATCCACAATTGCAGATGCGTTGCCTACCCTTAATTGACGGAGGAGACGCACGTAAAGAGGATATTTCCCCTTCCTATGCGTCTCCTCCACCGTCAAATCCAAATTTCCTTCCCATCTTTCCTTTCCTCTTAAGAAAAGGGTGGAAAGGGAAAGGGACTAAAATTAAGCCTTCGACACCAAACTCATCAGTCGAAACGCGGAATTGCTTCCACTTCACGCCTGTTTTCTGTGTGGTCGTGGTATTACACCAGGCAAGCCGGCCCAAAGATTTTTTGGTACACGTGTATATCTTATTCTTTAAAGAATGTATGGTATATATTATTTAAGAACTTTTTTTTCAATCTACGCTATTCGCGTCATTACTAAAATGATTCCGTAGTTCATTAAATAGACTAGAAACTGACATTAAGTGTACCTGTAACTTTGGATGCAGGATGATATGCAATAATTTTGTTCATATGCGCACACACTAGATGTTTTTACTGTTGCGTTACTGCAACACCGGCGGGGAAGACGCGCGGAGGGGCCCTTTCAGCGGTCGTCCGTCCCCCGCGCTCTCACCGCGCCGACCAGTTGCGCTCCGATCCGCCATTCAGCAACATTTAATTATATCTTATTTGTCCTTGTTACTATTTTGTCTATATCTTTGAACTGCAAGCCGATTCTTTAATTATCTACCAGCAAATACAGTCCACTTCTATACATTTACTTACGTACCTTTCAATGAAGAATTCACTTGTAACTGCATCTAACAATTTTAGCTATTAAAGTTAACGAAATTAAGCTGTTATAAGCATTCTTAGCTACAGTATGCAATAGTGAATCAGCGAGATAGAAAGCATTAAGATTTCTAACCGTAGAACTTCATTGCCGTGTGAATTGTTACATATTGCGATCTCTTTCACTCCCTTTGGCAAAACAAAGAGAAAATATAAACCACGCCAGTAAAACTCTACGGTAAGCAATTTCAGCAAGCAAACAAAATGATTTAAAATCAGCACATGACAAACAAGCTTCTGGTTTCTGTAAATTAATACTTCGAAAATGAAATCTTATCACTGATAAAATCAAACGAAATAAATATACACGCCCTTGGCCCAATGTAGTGTATTTTGCACAGAACTGCCACAACTCTTGATGTTATCAAGTATTATTGGTCACAAACACAATCACAACAAAACAGAAGACAGACAGTTTTGTCGTCCGAAGCGTCAATGTTTCTGCGAACTAACAAATTTAAACAAGGTTACGACGTGACCCTTAAGGTGACTTTCTCTTTAGTTAATTTTAGTCTCGACCGCACGGCTATTTTTAGATCAGTTAAAGTCGGGTAAACAGTGATTTTGATTACGTTATAAGGACGTTAAAACAATTGCATTTGTATCATCACTTTACCTACAATAGTTGTTTTAGTGACTTAAAATATCAGCAACCTTGATCAAATCAGGGAGCTTACTTAAGTAGTTAATTACCCGCATATTGCATACATTGCAGCCATTGGGCTTTTTAATATTTTTTTTCTTTTAAACTATGTTCTTATCTAGGAAGCAATTTCATCCTTCTCTTGTGCTATCATCTTGACGTACTGTTACAATACTATGCCCACTTTTTCAATTACTTTACGATAATTATGAGAGTATAGTTAAATGTGAGCAAGTTTCATCATCATCATCTCCCCTGCCTTATCCTACTCCCGTAGGGTCGGCGCACCGGGTTTTCGTCCTCCAAAGCATTCTATCATCCATCTCAGTCATCACTCTCTTCTTCATCATGTCACCTTTCACGCAATCCATCCATCTCTTTCTAGGTCTACCTCTACCGATATATCCCTCCACATTCATATATGTGAGCAAGTTTATATCAGAATTATTTTGGAATTGATATGTTAAAGTAAATTGTAGTTTGTTGCATTAGAATCTTCTATATTAGCTACGTTTATTTATAGTAAGAAGGCGTGCGTGGAAGTGGCTACGAAAGAAATAATTTAAATGAAAAATATCCCTCGATAGTATCATAAATGTTTGATAACGAATGATATAATGGATTTATTAAAGTCTGATATCTAATAGAATTGATCATACGAGATTTCTTAGGTTATCTATCATTCCATATAATATATTATATCTAATCTTCCGCTTATAGAGTTCATGTTATTTTTATTTTTAAATATGATAAATGTAGTATTTTAGTTTCAAAATTGTTGTAGTTATGCTACTTGTGATACTTTTGATTATATCGCTTTTTAATTGTTCTTTTTCCGTTTTTAGTAAATCATGTGGGATCATTGTATAGCTACTGACGTTTGTCACGAACTGACCACAGTTATCAGTTGCCAATAGAGTTTGCTGCTTACCGCTATAGAAATACTGTCTCAAATATGAATTATCAGCTTTCGCCCGCGACTCCGTCCGCGTGGCATTAAAAAAACAAAAGTGAATAGCCTATGTGTTATCAGACTATCCTCTACATCTATACCAAATTTTATCGAAATCTATTCAGCCGTTTAGACTACAAATACTAATAAACGTCCATCCATCTAAACTTTTGCATTTATAATATTAGTAAGATTACAGTTAGAAGAACTGTCTCCAAGAATCCATGTATTTCTGTACGACTAGTATGTAAACTAAATTTTATTTTATCAATAAACCAGCTGTCCCCATGCGGCTTCATCCGCATGAAATTATGATAATTTTATTTTATTGTTTACATTTGTCAAATTATCAATAGCAAATATCAATATGACATGACAAACCTTGACAATCTTGCTTTCTTGATGTTGGCAGCAACTTATGGTCTGTTTCCCACATTAGGGTTTTTATCCAAAATGTTTACC